CTCCTATTTCTCTCTCTTTCCTCCCTCTTTCTCCTCTCTCTTTCTCTCTCCTCTCCTCTCTCTTTCTTCTCTTCCTCTTTCCTCTTTCTCTCTCTCTCTTTTCTCTCTCTTTCTCTGCTCTCTGTTCTTCTTCTTCTTTCTCCTCTTTCTTCCTCTTTCTTCCTCTCTCTTTCTTCCTCCTTTCTCTCCTCTCATTCCCTCCCTTCTCTCTCTCTCTCTCTCACACACACACACACACACACACTCTCTCTCTTGTTAAATACTAACAGATCTGATCTGCTAATTACTGTCCGATCGGTTAAAATAGTTCTATCACAATATAAAACCATTCTTTGTTTTCCAGCAAACTTCTAGGTTGGTACTTAAAATATGTCTTTTTCGCTTCAATGAGTTGAAATTTCTCAGTCACGCTTGATGTAAAATCTTGGCCACTGCGTCATACCATTGTTTATATTTAGTACCAAAGAATTGTGTGCATCTCAAAGTAAAATATTGGCCGGATTCAACTGTTGGGCAACCATATCGACAGTACCCATTATTCGACATTTAATAATACCAAATGATTAGTTCAAGATTGATTAATTAATTAGTGATTCCGGGCGTGACAACTGCTGCAAAAGGTCATTAGCCCCGTAAGTTTAGCGCATATTTTTTTCTCGGGAGGTGGCGATGATTTTCCCCCGATGGGTGGTGTGTTGCTGCGCCGACCTACCGTTGGCTTGCGGGGGTTTCCCCAACCTGGTATCTCCCACCAACGGGGAATCGCCCCAGCCGGAACAATGTAGTTCAAGAGAGGAACAGCATAGGTGCTATTAGTCTTGGTAATATTTCTTCAATCCAATTTTGTTTTCAACACGTTTCGTATCCTTCGGGGAAAATCTTCAGAAAATTCTTCCTTTATTTTTCATTGGTCAATGCACCTTACTTGCCTCATTCCCAGAAACTTGTATGTTTCCTCCCCGACATTGCTTGTATCGTCATCCTTCTTCAAGTTCATAGGACCCTTCCTGCAGTCTTCCTTTCACAATATTTTGTGTTCTACATTTTTCCGGGACAAACGTCGTGCCAATATCTTTCAAAAATGATTTGGCAATTCTCAGTAGATGTTCAAGATGACTTTGTAGACCCAAATAACTTCAGGTTATCTATATACAAAAGATGATTTAGGCAGAACATCACAGTTGTACCTATTTTAATTTCAAAGCCATAATTTGTGGAATTTAATAGATTTCATAAGGAATTCATGCAAAGGGCTGTGTGAGACTCCCCGGAAAATACCTCTTCGCTCATTAATAGTTTCTGTTTTGACATAGTTAACAGGTGTACCTAGGATAACTTTTTTCGCCAATTCAACATCACTTGCTTCAAGAACTAGGCTATTTTGTTAGCAATGCAGAAAAATCATACTTGTAAATATTTGCAATTCGTGTACCGATGCAAATAAGTTTTCTATAACTCAGAAGCGAAAATGACTATTTTTCAAATATTGCTACTCTTGCTATTTTAAAAAGTTATTTCAAACAATTGTTTTTTTTATTTCTGTTAAACTTTTACTCAGCTTTCAACTATTTATAGCTAAAATGACGGGAAGGGATTCTGCACCTCAAGAAAACGTGCGCAGATAATCTTTTCCCCCCTACACCACATACAGTTTTTACTATTGTTTTTTTTTCGACTGAATAAATCTAATCTAACTATATAATAATAATAATAATAATAATAATAATAATAATAATAATAATAATAATAATAATAATA